CGGCGTACCTGAGCTCGGTCGGCTGTCGGGCTCATGTGACGTCCCGGTGTCCAATCGCAGGTCACTGATTTGTCGGTCGAGCTCCTGCAGCTGAGCGATGAGGCCGGCGTCCCGCCTCCTCAGACAGTTCTGACACACAAACAGCTGAGATCGCACACCGCCGTGACAACAACAACAACAACAACAACAACAACAACCACAGCCTGAGTGACTAACAGAGAATAAAAGGTGACAGTCTGTCTGTTATTCACAGACGACCTTTGACCTTTGTATTAAAATCAGTCAAAAGTATTTTTCTTCATTTTAAAAACATTTTTATGGTTTTTATCTTTGAGGTTTCTGAACTTTTAAATCTGGACTGGTGTGCATCACGTCACCACGTGTCAAACTCAACTTTTCTCTTTTCACGTGTCTAAAAAAATATTTTTCTCTTTATTCTCAGGTTTTTATTTTCAGTCTTGTTTTGTTTTAACCGTCAAAAAAAGACCCTCCGTCTGAGGGTTCTCTCCTCGCCGCCGTGGGGTCAGCTGTTTCCTGTTTAGTCTCTGCTCCGAGCAGCAGAAGAAGAACAGGAGCACTCGTCCCAGAGAGAACACACCTGAGATCAGCTGACAGATCAAACTGCAGGAGCACGCGAGGGAGGCGGAGCTGACGTGAAGACCTCAGACTCAAACGCTGCCCCTGATTGGTCCTGCTTATAAAAACAAAAGCTTTGAGCACAAACAGAAGAAAACTGGAGGCTCTTATCAGTGTGAGACCAGACACTGAAGGTCAGAGGTCACAGAGACACCAAAGATCCTGGATGGTCCTGGGACATGACCACCGGGCCTCAGACCGTAAGATTATTGATTACTGATTATTGATGGAAGAACAGGAAGCAGCTCAGACTTCAGACAAATCAGCGTCGACTACACAGGAAGTACCAGCTGACTCTACCATCCAAAATCACCTCAAACATTTTTCACATCGAAACGTCCTGAAAGACAAACAGGAAGTCATGTGACAAAACATGCAGCTATAAACAGAGAAGGTAACAGACACACGCAGGCTGAAGCAGCCCCTCCCCCCGCTACAATGGAAAACATGCGGGCTATGCGGCGCTGCTGCGGGTCATGTGCTGCATTCCTGCAGCTGAGCTGCAACACAAACACAGCTGCTGCCACCAACACATCATCATCACCAGTTTGTACATTGAACCCATTAAAACCCGAAAAGACACAAAAACACAAACTAACCGCCCAATCGGGACCGCCCACCTGTTCGCCCAGGTAACACTGTTCCTGCTCACAGCTTGCTGTATGTCTGCTCGTTCAGCTTTACGAATTCACCCTAAGAAACGTTTAAAGGACCTCTGTGAGCCTTCAAAATAAAAGCCTGCCTCTTCACCATCATGCTGTTCCAATAAAGAGCGAAGAGCTGACCTCATGACAGCGTCGGTCCTCGGCGATTTAATGTGCAGCAGCACGAGCTCTGTTTCAAGCCTGGAAGCTCCTCCCCGCTGCGTTCACTGCCCCAAAAGCTCTGCAGCCAACCACAGAGCAGCCAATCAGGCGACAGCGTCGGTCTGATCGTAAAGAGCTGATGTCACAAATCAATCAGCTGTTCCAAAAAGAACAAAAATGACACTGATGTCTCTATAAAGTTACAGGTTACTGTAATCAGATTACTCTGTTCCGACACCTGTGCAGCGATTGGCTGGTTTCAGTGAAGAAGCTCGACCGGCACTGCGGCCGACGGTCTGCACCAGCCGACAGCGAGCGGCATGAGCCACGGGCCAATCAGAAGCCTCCAAACAGCAACATGGCGCCCAGCCTGACGTCACAGCAGTACATACTACAGGACAGTGCACAGTAGGTCAGAGGTCAGAGCAGCCACTCGGTTCAGAGTTTGTGGACGTTACGGGTCGGACCAGAATAGCTGTGAGACACGGAGCGTTCTGAGCACGCTCAGTCCGTTCTGAGCGCGCTCAGTCCGTTCTGAGTCTGATTTTAGAGAATGAGTCAGCCGCCTGGTTTGTGTCTCAGCTGAAAGTCGAGCTGCAGAGTTTCCAGCCGCTCGCAGGAATCTCCATTTGTTCGTAAGGGGCGGGGCTGAATGTGGCGGGGGTGGGGGGTCACTAATGCGATCCAGACTGCGAGGACGAGCTTCAGCTGCAGGACAGACAGCAAACAAATGCTCGACCAGCTCAGACATGTGAGCCGGGAGCAGATCTGAGGTCAGATCCTGGACAAGAACACAGCGCCCGCATGTCCAGGCTTCCCAACGTGCACCTGAATGCACCTTGACCGTGCAGATGAAGACGAGGAGACTCTTCCTCCCCTCTGTGCGCCTCCATCCTGTTTGACTTCACGCCCACAGTTCAAAGCTCTTACTGACACGCCAGCGTGTGAGGAGCGGCACCTGAACGCAGCACGGGGACGACAGCTGACGGTCAGCTGACAGGAAGTGAAGGCCGGGCCCATTCCAGCGTTTCCACATCTTCAGCTCCAGCCTGACATCAACCTCCGTGTGACATCACTTCCTGTTTTTCTTCTTCCCAACTTGAAGCTTCCTTGGTCTCTGACCTTTGACCTTTTTGGTTTGAGCTTCACGTCAGCCTGGAGCTGCGTTCGTGCGCCTGTGTTTGGGTCAGTGAAGCTCTGGATTGTGGGAATTTAACCAGAGAGGCACACGATTGGCTGCAGCCGTCCACGTGATGCCGAAGTTTGAGCGACAAAACAGCCGATTTAGACGCGCCTCACACCTTCACCTCCAGCTCCGCCCTCAGCTCCGCCCTCAGTGAACACCTTCCTGATATGTTTCTGAACTCAGTCGCTCATTTCAGGTGATGCCGACTCAAACAGGAAGTCCAGGTTTGTGCAGGTACGCAGATGTTCTCGCTGTTCTCGAGTCCGACGACAGAGCAGGAGACATCCACAGCAGCCACAGAGGTGTGACTGTCCCACAGCTGATGTAGGAGGCGTGGCCTGACAACAGGTGATTTTCCAGTCTGATGGATCAGCAGCTTTGAGGCCTCATAGAAAATCTTCGGGAAAAATCAGAAGCCTGTTCCTCTTCCTCTGATAAATTATCGCCATGGGAACCACTGCTGTGGCACACCTGGCACAGGTGAGCTGATCTCAGGTCAGCCTGAGGAGTTCCTCTGTGCTCATCTCTGCCTGCTGCACACCCACTGTGAGGCTCCGCCTCCTCGTCTCTGCTGTTACCGATCGATTGATCAATTCTGTGTTTTCGCTGATTTTAACCTAAAATTTAAAGTTAATAACTCGATTTTCTGAAAGCCGCCCAGCAGGTTCAAATTCACCAGAAAGAAATAATTTATTTAGAATATTTATTGATGTAAATAACAAAGTGGAGTTATTTCTTTATGATGACAGCATAAAATAAGTTTGTTTTACTCATTTTTAATATAAACTATACTTTTAATTATTAATGAACGACATTCTTTTCTTTCACAAACACATTTCAGTGTTTTTCATGTAAAATATGGAGAAGAGTAAATATTAAAGGGTTTTTGCTCACGTGTCAGGGGAGATTTGACACTTGATCCTGTGACTGATCATCACTGATCAGCTGACTACCTGCAGCTCTGCACGTGACCGTCAGGCTGACCACTCCCTGCACCCTGACCCAGGCTCACAGAGGTCAGAGGTCATAGACAGACACAGGTGAGGACCTACCAGCTGTTTCCGGAGCAGCAGGATGTTCCCCTCCAGCAGTTTCTCCTCCGAGCTCAGCTGAGCCTCTCGCCGCCGCCGCTCCTCCTCCTCCTCTTCCTCCCGGAGCCCCAGCGCGGCCCGGACCAGCACCTCCTGCCGCCGCCGCAGGAGCTCCAGCTCCCCGAGCCCGGACACGGAGGCCTCCAACCGCTCTCGGACCGCCGCTTTGTCCCGCCTGGAGGTCCCGGACGGCAGCATCTCCCAACAGAGCTCAGGGCGGAAGCATCCCGCGGAGACACACCTGCCGAGCCCACCTGGACCTCACCTGAAAGCCCCGGAGCGCGAACCGGGCCCTCGGGTCTCCGCCGGTGCCGTCGGCAATACGCTCCGGGGTGTCCGCAGGGAGCTCCGAGCCTCCCCGGAGCCGCCGCACGCACAGAACCCGAGAGAAGGCGCAGAGATGCGGGCAGAGCTGGAAGCTGCTGGCGCCACCGAAGCTCCGAACACACTGAACCTCCGCTGCACGCTCTGCCACTAAACCCCGCCCCCTTGGAAACAGACAAGCCCAGCAGACAAACGCGCTTCCTTTCCTCTCCTTCAAAATAAAAATACCTCAGTTTCACTTTTTATACTGCAGAAGAGCTCATTCCACACTCCTAAAGGACACGCACGCTGTGAACCAAGAACACGATTCAAGCTTTCATGTGGGTTTTGAAAATGTGTTTTGATTTTTGAAGAAACGAGGCCCAATCGTCACAGTAAATATGAACAAACACAGTCATCAACGTGAGCATCAGGACAGATGATCAATAATATCAGTCATGAAGTTCATTAAAACTACAAACACATTCGATCCTTTTCAGGAAATTAAGCATATAAAAGAGAAACGTCCCAGTGAGCATGCTGAAATATGAATTGCTGAAATATGAATCATTTACGTTTGCGTCTGCTGTCCTGATCTCTGCTCAGGTGTTTGCAGCAGAAATGAGTTTTTAACTTATGACTGGAATGACTGCAGACGAGAGCAGCAAAAATACTGAACCACTGTCAAGGCTTTTATTTTAACATCGGACCGAGCATGGGGTTTTATTTTGGAGGGCGGAGTCAGGGCACTTCCTGCCTGATCATGTTAATTAGCGTTAGCATGACGCGCCGCAGCTCAGGCCGGTCTGTTCTCTGACGGTTTCCCGCAGGTCCTAAAGCCGTCAGCTGTGCGACGTTATTAGAACCGCTTCGTGGTTTTAATAAACCACAAAATGGAAACATTTAGTTTCTATTTTTTATGTTACATTAGAATTTATTGTCACTAAAAAAGGAAATAACTGCAAACAACAAACAAGTTCTGCCAAAACCAAACTTTTTATTAGAAGAAGCTTTTATTTTTCTAACAGTTCATCTGCAGAGGCGGGGGGCGTGGCTGAGAGCTTGTGTTTGTACGCGTCATTACTTTGACTAATCTTTATTGTTCTCCTGCAAACAGCTGAACAGACAGTGAGAGGGCCTTTGTGTGGTTTTTGGGTCACAACAGTCTCAGTCAGCTAATGAGGTCATGCTTCATTAACACGTTAATGAGGCGCTCGCAGCACAGCGCCCCCTGCTGACGGTCGGCAGTCACTTCCTGTCTGACAGGCCGAGACCTCGTGAAGCTGATCAGAGATCAGACAACATAAAACAATTCATCAAAGTGCAGCGAGGCAAGGAGGAAACCTCACAGTGCCAGAACGTGGCCTTTATCTCAGACTGGGCGGGGCTATGATGGCGTGTGAGGTGTTCCTCTCACAGGTAATGATGATGGGTGGATGATGTGGACGGCGTACCGGTTTGTCGTGGTGGAGCGAGCTGAGCGTGAAGGTGAAGCTGACCTGTGGTAGGACACGCTACACTTGACCAATCAGAGCTCTAACAACGCTGCGCTGAGAAGCCTTCTGTGCAGCGACTTCCTGTTAAGCTCCTGTGATGTCATGGCGTCGGGCCTTTTCATGAGGAATAAGTAATCTGCTGAGTCTCAGACCCAGAAATCCTCCTAAAAACCTGGAGCCTGCTCTCTGCTGCAGCTCGGGACAAAACGTCCTGTTAGAAAGAACTAATCGGCTTGTCACCTGTCGACCAATCAGGCGAGCCGGCGGGCTCAAAGACGCCGCTGAGCCGGGTACGGGAACACAAAAAGGCAGCAGAACAGTGCCTGAAGGTTCAGCCTGAAGGTTTAAAGAGACGGGACCAGCTGCTGATGGAGCAGGAAGTGATGCGTTGCCCTGACGACCCTGTGTTACCTGGTGATGGTTCCCGGAGTCCTCAGGGGGATGCAGACTTTAACATCCAAATCATCCACATCTTCAGCTCCAGCTCGCTCTAAGGTGGAGACTTCAGACATCCTGAAGGTCACGAGAACCTCCTTAAGCCGTCCTGAGCCCCGCCTCCTGCGAAGGACAGCCCCAGTTTCAGTCAGCTCAGACGATCTGTCGACGAGCTCCAGTTCCTCAGATGTTCACAGGACAAACTCATTTTAACCATCAGAGCTCCAGACAGAGGGCAGCACACGACGACCACACGACGACCACACGACGACCACACGACGACCACACGACGACCACACGACGACCACACAGTGACCACACGATGACCACACGATGACCACACGA